TTTCTTTCATTGGTACCATTCCATTAGGCTCAGCTGAATTTCCCAACAGATTTTGAGAAGAGAGTAATGTTTTCTTTTTTTTTTTTTTTTTTTTTTTTTTTTTTGGGACGTATTTCGCAGGACATCGACAATCTGATGGCGGAGGGGAACAAGTCGAGGACGGTGGCGGCGACGAACATGAACTCGGAGAGTTCACGGTCGCACGCGGTGTTCTCCGTCATCCTGACGCAGACGTTGACGGACTCGAAGAGCGGCGTCAGCGGCGAGAAGGTCTCGCGGATGAGCCTGGTGGATTTGGCGGGGAGCGAAAGGGCTGTGAAAACTGGGGCGGTGGGCGATAGGCTTAAAGAAGGAAGCAATATAAACAAGTAAAGTATTCAATTAGTCTCAGTTTTTCAGAGTAACTGGCATCTTTACTACTAATACTACTTTCAAATGTTATTAGTTTGGCAAATGACAGAAATTTGTTTAGTTGACCGTGAATACACTCGCAGTTGAGAAATTCCATCATCTACAGAAGTAAATACTGAAGAGAAAAAAAAATTTTAAAAAGAACTAATTCGTTTGTTCTTCCAAGTTTCCAAAAAAAAAAATGTAAGAAAATTTTGGATTACTTTAACCAAGCCTCTGTTGTGTTGTGGAATCAATTATAATTGATTAATATAATCAATCAAATATATATATATATATATACACACATATATTTATATGTATATATATATACATATTATATATACATATATATTTATGTATTTATATACATATATATTTGTGTATATATATACATATAATATACATACATATAAATCAATATATATACATATAATATATATACATATAAATCAATACATATACATATATATATAAATCAATATATATAAATCAATATATATATACATATATATACATAAATCAATATATATATAGATATATATATACATAAATCAATATATATACATATATATATACATAAATCAATATATATATACATATATATACATAAATCAATATATATATACATATATATACCTAAATCAATATATATATACATAAATCAATATATATATATACATATATATACATAAATCAATATATATACATATATATATACATAAATCAATATATATACATATATATACATAAATCAATATATATACATAAATCAATATACATATATATACATAAATCAATATACATATATATACATAAATCAATATATATACATATATATATACATAAAGCAATATATATATACATATATATACATAAATCAATATATATACATATATATACATAAATCAATATATATACATATATATATACATAAAGCAATATATATATACATATATATACATATAAATCAAATGATTTAGAAGGTTCTTCTTTGAAAGAAGAATAAAAATTTTCTTCAAGGAAATCAGCAAGTGAAAGAAATATATATATCATAAATCTAATCTTTGGAAGGTTCTTCTTCTAAAGGAAGAATAAGAATTTTCTACAAGAAAATGGCGAGTGAAATTTCACTGAGGACATTAACGACCTAGTTTGGAGAGTTAAAAGTAAAAAGTGTCCTAAGATATTGGCCACTGCTGGTGATGTGAACCAACAGTTTCTGTAATACAAGTTTCTAACACGCTGAAAAATGCCAAATGAATTTACTACACAGCCTGATAATTAAATCAACGTAGTTGTAAAATGTATGAGAAGTCGTTTGTTTTCTTTCTCTTTTAATAAAGTTAAAAGCACCATGTGCGACAAGTTAGTACATGAGAAAAGTAATCAGTTTAATTCATCTGATCTTCCCTTCTTTTTTCTTTTTTTTTTAATATAAGTGGTAACTTTGTGAGAAAGTGATGGATCACGAGACAATTGTTTGCAGATCCCTAACGACGTTGGGTCTAGTCATTTCGAAGCTAGCGGATCAGAATTCCGGAAGTAATAAGAATAAGGACAAATTCGTGCCGTACAGGGACTCCGTCCTGACATGGCTGTTGAAGGTAATATGCTCGACAGATTTTAACTATTAAAGGTTTACTTTCGACTGACCGCAGAAGTGAGGGAAATTAAAGAATTGCTTTGCAGATGAAATTTTTTTAAAAATTATCAACTCCTTTTATCAATTAAAAAAAGAATCCTCAGGTACTAGACAACAGCTTTGAGAATATTATTACAAATTTTCCAAAACTCTGTAGTTTTTCTTAGATATTTGTGGTACAGTTATATCTGTTACATTACAAACGAAAAATTGTAAATTAATTATTGTCTAGAATATTCTAGATTATTCTGGAAGGATTTGTACTAAAATATACAATTTTTGAAAAATTGATTTTTTTTTACATCATCAAAGCTATGTAAAACCCCTCAAGTATGCGATAAAGATATTCACTGAACTGTAAATCCCAAATCCTTATTTCCTATATTTATCCAAAATCGTAAAGAATTTAGAAAGTAATTGTTTATAATCATGCTGTATTTTAATTGCAGGACAACCTTGGCGGAAACAGCAAGACCGTAATGGTGGCAACGATATCCCCCGCAGCGGATAATTACGAGGAGACGCTCTCAACTCTGCGGTACGCAGACAGAGCCAAGAGAATCGTTAATCACGCGGTGGTCAACGAGGATCCAAACGCGAGGATCATTCGAGAATTGAGGCAGGAGGTGGAAGCGTTGAAGGAGATGCTATTGCACGCAACTGTAAGATAATCAGGACTCGTTAACGTTGGCACATTGCTCTGACAGACAAACACTGAGTGCTAAAGACTTGAAGCGAATCAAATGATTAATCTTGCAATTAACGACGTTGGCCTTCTCATCAGACATTTGGACATTTTGCCAAAATTGTAAGAAAGGCAGACCAGTGAAAAGCCCTTGCCGATCACAAACAATCCTAAGAATTTTTCTGGCTGACAGTCAGAGTTTTTTAGAAGTGGGGAAAACCATCACTGTTAGCATATTTATCGTGACAAGTTGGAAAACTTTTCCAGATTCTCTTTGTAGTAAAAATGACTCTTAATCCTTTGCACTCCAAACTATTTTTCAATTTTTTTTTTTTTTTTTTTTT